GGAAGCAGTTGCTATACCCACCCACCTTCCCCCCAGAAAAGTTGCTGAGGGACTGAGCAAGGAGTGACTGTGAGGAGGGTGAGCAGGACGGACCCCAGCTGGTTGGGGTTCAGGTTGTGAAGTGACTCAGCAAACCGCCGAGGCTCCGATCTCAGGCAGCTGTGTGCATGCCATTAACTGAGAGCAGGAGAAAGGGGTTTTTGCTCTTGTCGAGTTAAAGGTGAAGATACCCATTACACAATCGGAAATAAGGGACCGGTGCGCAGAAGAAACAGCTAGGCTGGGGCTGTGGAGCTCAGTGTTATCTGCGTGTTCAGGTGCCATCGGCCTAGATGAGACTTCCTGCAGGGAGTGAGCTCACAGAGAAGGGAAAGGTGCAAAGGAGAGATCCCTTGGGAGCATGATTACTGAAGAGATGGGGGGACATCAGTCTGTGAAGAAGGACGATGAGAGGCCATGAGAACCAGAGGGAGAAGCAGGAAGTGTCATCGTGGGAACCAGAAGACGGCGTCAAGGAAGACCGGGCGGGGACCGGTGCTCGAGGCTGGTACAGTTAGGTTCCTCATGTAGGACTGCTGGCTCTCAATGCAGATTTCCAGTCCCAGTTAGAGGCACAGCGTTGGTAACACGTGCATCTGTCCTAATCCTGGAGCCGGAGGCAGGAGGCCCGGATTCTTAGCTCTGGGACCTTCTTGCCAGGTGACTTGGCAAATCATTAACTTCCTGGGCCTCATTGTTCTCATTTGCAACATGAAAGAGTTGGGCTATAATTGTCTGAAGCTTCTCTGGCTTTCAGGTTCTGTGCCCCGACTGTTCTGGTGCTTTGCCGAGCTCTGGCTGCATTTGTAACTGCCAGCCTCCGGGGGCTGACCCTCCAACTGAACATAGAATTACAGAGCTGTCTTATCTCTCCTTGATGTGTTTCTGTGTTGACCTTTCCTGCCCTGGAGATAAATATCCCAGGGAAGGTGGGAGAAAGAGGAGGCCTTGAACAGACAAACTGCCTCTCCTGGGCTTTTCTAAGATGTTCAGATAATCACCTTATGCCTTTGTGGCCTTAAGGAGTCACAACTCTACATGAAGGGGAGGGTCCTTCCACCTTCTCCTGGCCAGAGAAACTCACTCTTGATCTGACTGTTTATGATTGCTTGTGCGCTTTTAAATGAGATAGATGGTTTGTGTTCTGGCTGAAGTTAACTTTGCTGTTAGCTTCTAACTGAACTTTTGCCCCAACACACCAGGTAGTTTCAAAAGCCAAGCGCCTTACCCGTGTTCCTCCCTACTTTTGATGGACTGTATTCTGCTGGACTCTAATGAGATTCATCCATAATTTGTCCAGTAATATTATTAATTATTATTATTTTGTCACAGAAGATCTTTAGAGTGCAACCAATAATTGCACTATTGCTGTTTGTAGGCAAATACTTGACAAGAGGTTGCAATGACCAGAACTCATTAGTAATTCAGAGAAATATTGCTTCAAGATATAGTTCTCCTGAAATACAATTGTGAGCAAGAGAAATATCAGATGTGTATAAAGATACATAATAGCATCATTAGAACAGGACCGACCCCTGACCGAGAACCAAGGAGGTAAACTGGTAGGAAGCTTAAGGCGAAAGTGCCATCAACACATTAAATACAAAATTATATCGTCTCCCGAAGCCTCCGGCAGTGTTAAAGTCCTTGACTTGAATTAACTCTCTGAATCCTCACTGCAGACCTGTGAGGCAGGTATACGTTATCCTGATTCTCATTTTACAGATGAGGACGCTAAGGTGCAAAGGGGAGAAGTAATCAGCCCAGGTCCCACAGACAGGACCCCAAACCCCAAGAACCTATTTTATCCATAGACATGACAGAAATACTTGTCCTCTTCAGAGCTTAACTGGAAAATGGAATCGAGCCCAATTAGGAGACACTGTGCAGGAGAGCTAAGGTGGCTTAGAGTTCTGGAAGGAGAAACTGAGCCAGGAGGCCATGGTTCAGCCCCATTTCTGATTCCAACAGTGTGGCCTTGTGCAGATGATAAACTGGCCCCCCAGACCTGTTTCCTCCTCTGTGAAACAGGGAGGTCGGGTCCAGGTGTTTTCTGAAGGTCTCTGGACCATAAGCTTCTGTGCGGGAGAGTGGCTGGGTGTGGACACTGGCTCCCCGTAGCCAGCACGGATACGAAATAACTTATTCCCGTTCAGCCGGGGCCGAGAATAACTATCAGTGTGAGGGGTCGGGCTGGCACTGGGTGCCTCCACTAGCAACCGTGCCAAGCTCTCTTTCTAAATCCCCATCGCCACACATTACTATATATAAAATAGACAACAAGGACCTACTGTATAGCACAGGGAACTATATTCATTTCCTTGTAATAAGCTATAATGGAAAAGAATCTAAAAATATATATACGTATGTATGTACACGCACAACTGAGTCACTGTGCTGTACACCTGAAATTAACATTGTGAATCAACTACATGTCAATAAAAAAGAAAAACTTTTTTTAAAAAAGGAAAAAAAAAAAGGAACAGAGAGAAAAATCAATCCATCCATCTATCTATCCATTCATCCCAGTCTCTGGGGGCAGCGGGGAGGACCTCTGGGAAATGGTGGACAGCCAGTCAGGAGACGCCCCTCCGTGGCGCCTGCACAAGAGGGTCTCCAGGTTTTCCCAGAGAAGCAGCTCCTGAGGCCTGTCTAGAAACGTCAGCGTGCTGCTGACAGGAGGTGGGAAGGGCACTGGACAGGAGACAAGGCCGTCCAGAACAACTGTCACACAGGGATTTCTGTCTGCCCTGAGTCGAGTGTGGCTCAGGGCTGGATTTCAGCGTTCCACGGAGCTCCATGGCCATGACCCAGCTCCGGATGCCTCAACCTTAATAACGCTGAGGAGGCCTGAAGTCCTTAGCCCTTCTGCTGCTTCTGTTTCTCTTCTTTCCCTTCTCTGTAGCCAACGTAACTGCACAGCTCTCTGCCGCCAGCTCCCACAGAACTGGCCCCTACCCTCCCAGTTCTGACTGTGTCCTGGGGCTTCCTCACCAGCCATCCCCAGTTGTTGAATGGGCCCCAGAGAAAGGGGCAGAGACCGGGGTGGTCCGCTCTCTTCCCGCTCCATCATCTGAGTGGGAGTAACTTCCTTCAGATCACTTAGCTACAAGGACCAGAATCTTGTCTTCTTTAACTGTGACTTTTCTTTCAATAACACAACACCCAAAAGATGGAAGAAGAGAAACATAAGAGATTTTAGGATTCCAAAATATCCTTAATGTGGTTCCTCAAGCCAGGATACAATGTTGCATGGCTTTATCTTTATGTATGTGAACTTTTAATTGTTAGAAGGAACCCAGAGCTTCTTGGAATAGAAATACTGAGCAAAAACCTTCACCTGAAACACACACCCATCAGTTTCCCCTTAGCTTGCCTCACTGCTCACCTGCCTACTCACAGACTTCCTAGATCAGGAAACTGTCAAGAGCAAGGGCTTCAACCTTATTCTTAAAGAGTTTCCCCAGGCTTCTAGGGCTTTAGCTCCTTGCCTCATGTTAAGGAGCTGCACTGACTAAGAGGAGTGTGGTTAGCAGAGTGAAAGGAGGACCCTCCCCAGCCACTGACCACACAACACAGCCACCGCACAGAGAGAACCAGTGCCAGGGCAGGACCTGCGGATATTGGGGCACAGTAAGGGGGAGATGATTAATGTATGTCGGTGACAAAGGGATGAAAAGCACTAGACTGAAAGATCAAATCCATATTTTTAGAGAAGAAAACAGGGGGCAGAAGTCCAAACAACAGCAGCCCCAAATTCCACGAGTGAGCAGTCGCAACAGCATGCCCCGTCCAGCAGGCAGCCCTCTCCCCCGGGAACCGTCACCTCAGGGACATCGAGTGCACCCCAGCACTGTACTGGAGCACTCAAGAGATCGCTCTGAGTTTTCCAACAGCTCGTGATGACTTTACAACGTTCCCCGACTCCTGTGTGTGCCGGGAAGGAGCAGGCATGGGGTGACGGCTGCTATGGTGCCGTGGAACATTCCTAACGCCAAGAAATGAAATCTTCAGAGCCTTTGAAAGGCTTCCAAGAATGTCAGCACGTACTGCCTGCCCGCTCTCTGCTGAATGCCTACTTTGGCTGCCTGCTAAGTACTGGATGTGCCAGACAGGCCTTCACACAAAGAGAGAAAGTGTTTGGGGCCCATGAAAGGGGAAGGCAGAGCCTTTCTGATGTGAATGGCGAAATTCAAGAAGTAGGAAATGAAGTGGCGGGGTGAGGGGGGCCCTCAGGAAAGGTAGGAATAAAAAAAAACAGAGAGGGAGAGATGGCATCTGCCCACGTGGGGTTACTTCTCTGAAGTGCCCCGCCCTCAGATCTGGAGATGGAGACTACTGTCATGCTGCCCTCCATCCTCGAAGACCATGGGGAGAACACTTGCTTGTCGATTCTCCCTGTATCCAAGGACCTCTTGATCAACTGAGAGTAAGAATCCTTAAGGCCTGCCAAGGCACAGATCATTGCACTTCTGTTTCCATTTTAACACAGAATATCAATGCCATTTGTGCTGTTTATTCCCGGCATTTTCTTTGACTCTTTCTTCCTCCAATATGGGGGGGTGGGGGAAGGAGAGAGAGAGGGAACTGTCTCTTGTAGCACATTTGAATACCTACGGGTATTTTATTCCTTCCACTAGGTTTAAGAAAGGAAGTAGCACGCTCTCTGACTCCTTACCAGTGCTACGCAGAATTCCTTGGCACAGCGTCTGTGGCTGGAGGGAAGGACCCTTGTGGTGTTCGGAGCTTTTCCGAGGAGGCAGTCTGATGTCATTGGTGGCAGACGCTGGACGTATGGATCTGCCTTGCGTCTGCACCATCTGCTCTTCTCCTTACAGGCTATTGTCCAGATTCTTCTCTTCTTTCCAGGAAGTGTGCCTCCCGTAAGCACGTGGGCTTTAGGTGTTAGAGGGACTGAGCTGAGACGCTAACAAGATTTCCCTCTGTTCTTTCCTTCCTAGAATCTTATGGCAAGAGCCTTATACGACAACGTCCCAGAGTGTGCTGAGGAGCTGGCCTTTCGCAAGGGAGACATCCTGACTGTCATAGAGCAGAACACAGGAGGGCTGGAAGGATGGTGGCTCTGCTCCTTACACGGTCGGCAAGGCATTGTCCCCGGCAACCGGGTGAAGCTTCTGATTGGCCCTGTGCAGGAGACCTCCTCCAGTCAGGACCAGCCGACTTCTGGACTGATGCCCCAGGCCTTTGGCCCACAGAAGCTCTATCAAGTGCCAAACCCACAGGGTGGCCCTCGAGACACCATCTACCAAGTGCCACCTTCCTACCAAAATCAGGGAATTTACCAAGTACCCACTGGCCATGGTACCCAGGAACAAGATGTGTATCAAGTACCACCATCAGTGCAGAGAGGCATTGGAGGGGCTAATGGTCCCCACTTAAGTAAAAAGGTGAGTGAATAATGGACTGGATTTTTGTTCCTGCTTATTTTTTCCACTGCACTCGGTGTGTGTGTGTGTGTGTGTGTGTGTGTGTTCCTAAAATAAGAAAATAAGAAGCTTCCAAGAAGTAAGTATGTCTTGTAAGAAGTAAGTATACCTAAGTACCCTAGCTTGGACATTATTTTTGCATTGCTTCTTCATTCATTGATCAACAAGACTTTCTTGCACTCCCACCACGTGCCAAGTCCTGTTGATCGACAGCCGTAAAAGGTTCCTGAGTCGTTCCGGGTCACGCTGCATCGTCAGGTTGTTTCTCTCCATCTTTCTGATTGCTCTGCTTTTAGACCTAGGTTCTGTACTCAAATAGTTTCCAGTCTTTTCTCTTTCTCCCTGGAGTGGTACAAGGCACCAAATTTTGCAGCATGAGTTCAGTGATGCCAGCAAGGACTCTCACTTTTGTCAAAAGCCAAAAGCTAAGTCCTGTCCCACTGGCCTGGCTGCACAAAGAACCCACCAGAAGTAGAGGCAGCAAGGAAGCTGGGAGGGGGTCATGTCAACTAGCTGATTCTGTAGGGGTTATGAGCTTCAAGGGGACTCACTGAAAACACACAGACCAGTGAATTTAGACAGGAGCCATCCTCTTGTCCTTCAGGCAATTCCTATAATGATGCCTGAGGTGGTGGGTGAAAATAGTGAAACTAGGGTATTTAGGAAGGCATCATGTTATATTAAAAAAAAAAAGTGGGGAAGGGCCTTTTCAGCAATCTATTCCAAATATCGTCACAATTTGAGATAAACAGAAAAGCGAACGCATTTGAACCATCTCGCATGTTTGTGCTGCTGGTGATGCAGTGATGGATGAAAGAGTGGATGTAACCTCCGTGATGCTTACACCAGAGTAGGGCATCCAAGCAAACGCTGAACGTCAGGTGGGGCAACGCGCTGTGAGGAATATAACGTCAGTGGACTCGGGGAGGGTAACAGCCAACACGAAGCCGATGCCAGTGGGAGCCTGGCAAGGGAGAGCTTTTCTCTTCCATTTGCTGGCAAATTCCAAGGGGCTCCAATGGGTCCTGTGAGGTTTGGTATTAAGAAGGGACCAATTTAACAGCAAGAAAAGATCCCTGAATTAAAAGAGGAAAGATGCAGTTAGACATCAGAAAGATCTTGTTGACTCTTAGAAGATGCTGTAGACATGGGCCCTGCCTTGAGAAAACCTAATACAGAGTCGGAATTTACAGACCCTTGGAAATTATGGAATATCGACCTGCATGATAATGGAATCCTCTGTTGGGGAGGAAAATGCGGGGGTTGGGGTGGGGTGAGATTTACTGTTGGATTCCTTAAATAACAGAGCCACAGATGTATTTTCAAATCACCTTTCATACAAAATGTACGTTTTACAAAGCTCCGCCCAGGCGCACCGGTGCCACACAAGCCGCACGTACGTCCGTTAGGAGGAATTCCGCAAGAAGGGAACAGTTCTGCTCGTTTCACCCGGGACAGGGATCCCTGTGTGGAGACCACAGAAGTCGCGCTTAGCCCAGGGGTTTGAGATTCAAAGGGAAAGCCAGATCAGGCCTCTATCCCCAGAGGGGGAAAAAGGAACAGTTGAAAGGTGTAACTATAAATAAATAACCTCTCTCATCCTTAGTCCTGATTGTTTGCACCTTAAAAATAGCCCTGCCTCGCAGGAGCCAGTGTGAGGCAGGCAGACGGGGGAGGCCGGTACAGGAAGTGCCTGGCTGAGAGGTGGTGGGGTCGAAGCTTTCATCACGGTTTATTTTGGCAGGAAGGTGACGTGTTTTCCTTTTTAGACTCAACCTTTTTAGTTCCAAGTCTGAAAAGTCTAAAACTTCAGCCGTCTTCCCATTTTGTTTGCTGTAACTGTACAGCGGGTTCGCTCCCAGCCTCCATCCACTCAGACAGGGGAGACTTTGACACGCCGTCCCCTGGATGGAGGTTGAGGTGCTGGGGTTACCCTCGGGCATTTGAACTCAGTGTTTTGATTGTTTATTTTTACTTCTAAAATCAGTGGAATGTTTCATGTTTAGTAAAAGGTAGGTGATTCCTATAGAAGGAAGACAAATTCCGGAAAGGACGTCTGCCAGCCCTTCAGGGGATGCGCAGACGTAGGGGAGACTTAACCAGAGCTCAGGAGCAGACAGCCCGGAGTGCGGAGCTTCGAGCCGTCGGGATCTGAGGTGGCTACGTGGTGAGGATGCGGAGGGCAGGAGGAATGGTCCTAGCTCTTCCCTGCCAAACGCCAAACGCTCCCCGGGACACCTGACCTCACCTTGAAAGTCACCTTAGTGACACTGGTTCTCTCGCTGCCACTTCCATCCTGTCGACTGGATCACTGGCTCACACCCCCGTGGGAGTGCTTTTGCCCTTCTCTTCCCTTTCTCCTCCCTTCTTCCCTCCTTCCTTCCTTCCATCCTTTCTTCGTAGTGGAGATGGCTTGGCTGCTAACGGGTGATTTTTACCTTCTTGATAACAGAAACTGCTTTAAAAACTTCTATCTAGAACATGCCCTCGGTGAGGTTCCTGACTCCTGACTCCAGACCTTCTCAGTGCGTGAGAATCGTACTGATGACTTAACCCAAGGTCCCAGGAGTTAATCCCCGTACAAGGGGGATGAGGCAGGTTTGGGGTTTTTTTTTTGTTTTCCTTGTAGTAGTTTTGCTGACTTGCTATGTAGCCCTGTTCCCATTTTTCTCTTTGAATTTCCTCTCTGTAAAATGGTGATAAACCCAGCAGCAGGCGTTCCTGGTGGTTTTAGCTACAGTCCTTAAAAGCAATGGAAGGAGAGAAAGAGGAGGCAGTGGAATCTAGTGCTGAACCACTAAGGTATGGTTTTTAAATTTTAGGAAAATTTACCCTACCAGAGAGGTAGGGAAGGTGTTAAAATGCAGGTGCCCAGGCCTCCCCCAGACTCGAATCCCAGCCTGTGGGAATCTGCATTTCAGTAGCTCCTTGGCTAGTTCTGGAGGAGGTGGTCCAGGACTGCACTTTGAGAAGCACTGTGACGGGGCCACGATGGGGGATGGACGTGTTCCAATCTGATGGTGACTCGGGACTTTCCACAGTTAAAGATTCCCTTGATGTCGCTGCAGACTGTGGGCTTCAGAAGTTTTATCCACCACAGTTTTTTTTTTTTTCCTACTAATGAATCACTTAGGGGAAAAAAACAGACAGCGAATTCTGCCTTGTATCACTTTGCTCTCTGGGAAATTCCAGCCCCTACCCACCCTCTTGCCTCCCATCCACATACAGTGACATTCATCACTTATTAAATCAGTGGTTAGAGAAAGAAAGAAAGTCATATAACCCCCACCCTTTCACAAAACAAGAAGACTTGTCTGTACTGCGACAAGAGCCCAGGCTCTGGGGTGAGGCCGGTTCCTCGTTCTGTTTCTCTGTAGCTGTAAATCCTTGTCAAGTTACTGAACTTCTTTAGGCTTTGGTTTCTTTGTCTGTAAAATGGGACTAATCATAACTACCTCCTAGGGTTGCTGTGAGAATTAAATGAAACACTATGTAGAAAGGACCTGGCACGGAGTTTCACAGTGCAGGGGTTTAAAAAAAACTTAGTGCCTCTCGCCTTGTGTTTTTCTTTCCTTTCTCAGAGTTTATTTTGAACTGATCAGCCATGTTTGTGTTTCAGACTCTGCACCAAATATGCAAATACCTTATTGCTGGCACGTATGATACTCTCTTTGAGTCTGTGGCTCTCTCTTTGGTTCTACAGAAATTTTGCACAGGGTGGAAAGAACTCTCAAAGTTATCTGGAAACCATATACATGACACTTTGGCTTAATTTCATTGTTTTTTTGTTTTCACTCTGGGTTTTGTGTGTAGGGCCGTTTTATCCATTAGGCACTGTGGGCAGAATGCCCGGGGTCTACGAGAATGTTGGAGCACTGAATAAAAAATTTTGGCTCTGAAATACGAAACACAAAAACTGCAAAACAGAAATTAATAAACGTTTAGACAAATGGGTAGGAAACAACACAGTGTCAACCTCATTAACTGTTACATTTAGATGTCATAATTATTTCATTACATTTGAAAACAATCTGTAGGTTAGATTTTTCTCACTTTTCAAAGACTTCTAAATCTGCCCTATGATTGCCAAGAACTCACAGGCAATTCTAAATTAAATGAGTTACTCATAGTCTAATAATTTGAAAAGCTGAATTGTATTTTTTTTAATGTGTCCTCGATTTTTAAAGGCAAAAATTGTACTTAATATGGGACTATGGTTTGGAGGGAACCACTTAGACCCAAACTTCAAAAGCTTAAGGTCCACAGAGGTTTGAGAGAGTTTCATTTCTCTCCTTCAGAGATCAGTAAAACTGCTACCCGAGTTCATCCATTTCATCCCTGATCTTCACAAGGAATTATCTGTGTCTCACTGATTATTCTTTGTAAACATCACTTATATTCTAACTGGTAGAATAGATTTGCTTTGCATCCTTCTGAAGATCAGTTCTGGGCTAACTTATAAACTCCATTAAGGCAGGCAGGGGACACGGCTGTCTCTACTGCTGCAGGCCAAGCTCGCAGCAAACCATCATTATACAGATAACAGCCAAAGAGTGAGTGCACAGGCAGCAGCAAGAAGCAAAGCATTTAATTTGAGCTGACCTTTAAATAAGCTGAAAAGTGGTTCTGATCTTATCACCCATCCACCGCCACACACAATTCAAATCCCGTGTCCAGTGCATCAGTCTGTTATGACATATGTCAGGTTATACACGGTCATTTTCCCCTAGAAGGGTCTTGGAGAATGTCACCATCTGTTTTCTGTAGTCATAACTGTCTGTTCATGACAAATGAGCATCCAAAGCATGACTGATGTCAAGTTCAGCTTTTCTGAGGGCCTAACTTCCATGCATTTTGCCAACTTTAGACAAGATCAGTTAACACTTGATAGTCACCTAAAAAGGAGAACCACACTTTTTCTACTGAGAAGCAGAGCTTCCTTTGCCTATGCTATTATTTAT